GGTGTGGGATTACAGGCAGAGCCACCGAGCCCGGCTGAGTTTCACCATTTTAAAATCTCTTTTACACCGGTCATTTTATCTAGAACAATGTTACATAGATAACAGGTAGCACAATAAGCTAGTAAACATGAAGAAGTGTTCATATTCATTAAACACACACACACACACACACACACACACACACACACACACACTAAGATGGCTGGGCGCGGTGGCTCATGGCTGTAATCCCAGCACTTTGGGAGGTGGAAGCAAGAGGATTGAGTCCAGGGGTTCGAAATCTGGGAAACTTGACAGAACCTCGTCTCTACAAGAAATAAAAACTTAGCCAGGCGTGGTGGCATGCGCCTGTGGTTCCAGCTACTTGGAAGGCTGAGGCAGAAGGATCGCCTGAGTCCAGCAGGTGGAGGCTATGGTGGCAGTGAGTGTGCCACTGCACTCTAGCCTGGGTGACAGAGTGAGATTCTAACTCAAAAACAACAACAACAAAAACCACAAAGATCAAATAACTGAAAATTCAAGTAACCTGGTGAGTTTTATCAAGTTGGTTGGTAAAAATATATATATTTAAATGCTAATACCTACTATTGACAAGGATGTAGTAAAACAAGCGTCATCTCTTACTGTTGACAGTAAAGCACAGCATTTTGGAAAGCAATTTGGCAATATACAATTAATAAAACTGTTCATAGGTTAGAAAGTGAAAGAGGAAAGCGAATTCTTGGACGCAAAGAACTCACCAAAGTTGGCTTGGCAAACTGGAAGCCTTTGTGACTGAGTTGCAAGGTGGTGACAGCAGAGTGTATGCAGGTGTTGGCTTTAGGGTTGGACTGATCTGGGTATGAATCCCTGCTGAGTAACCTCAGCCAAGTTACGTACACTCAGAGCTTTCATTTCCTTGTCTGCTAAACATAGAGAATAATACTTCACTCAGCTGGTGTGAGGAAAAACTGACATACATTTTCTAGAACATAATAAAAGCTCAAAAAAAGTTAACTTCTTACTCCTGCTTTCTTTTTCTTTTTTTTTTTTTTGAGTTAGAGTCTCACTCCGTCACCCAGACTGGAGTGCAGTGGCCACTCCTGGCCACCGCAGCTTCGACCTGCTGGGCTCCGGCGATCCTTCCGCCTCAGCCTTCCAAGTAGCCAGAATTACAGGCATGTGCCACCATGCCCGGCTGATTTTTTTTTTTTTTTTATTGTAGAGATGAGGTCTCGCTGCCCAGGCGGGTCTCGAACCCTGCTTTCTTGACTCTAAAGATAAACAGCTAGGGGGGAAAATTTTTGGTATATAGTAGTATGTCAGTGCTTTTAATGTTCGTGCTACCAACAATGTTATCTTTCTATCTGGATGCTGTTTTATGAATCAGTTGAGAGATGATTAATAGGGGATGGATGGATGGATGGATGGATGGATGGATGGATGGATGGATGGACGGACGGACGGATGGACAGGTGGATGGATATACTGTCAGGCCGATAGATGCATAGGCATTCAGTTAGTCCTCCTCATCTATTGACATTTTAATCAGAAAATGGGAAGGACTGCCTAGCTTTTCTTCTTTTCTCAACACTGAGCTAGAATCACAAGGGCAAAGCACAGTGCCAAGACCAGCATGCGTAGGCACTATTTGCTTATTAGACAAACAAATAGAACTCTTAGAGCAGTTGGAGGTCATAGGGACCACCCAGTATGGATTAGCACAGTAGCCTCCTAATGAGTATTCCCTTCTCTCTTCCCCCTTTTCATGTGCCCTCACCACAGGAGCCAGGCTGATCTGGATAAAAGCTGAGCCAGTGCAGATCATGTCGCTGCTCCAAACCTCCCAGGGCCCCCAAGTTCTCCCAGTCACGTTTCCCCAGTTTTCATTTTCTAAAACTTCACACACACCCTACAGGAACTTCTTTGTCTCTTTCATGGCTTTATTTTTCTCCCTATTACAACATAAGATGTATAGTCCTGCATCACTTAAACATGAGGATGCATTCTTTTGAGAAATGCATCTTTCTCAGACTTAATCCTTGGGTAAATGTCATAGAGTGACCTAGATGGGAGGGCCTACTACACACCCGGGCTATATGATAGAGCCTGTAGTACCCAGGCTACAAACCTGCACAGCATGTGACTGTGCTGAATACTACAGGCAATTGTAACACCATCGTAAGTATTTGTGTATCTACACATACCGAAACATAGAAAAGGTACCATAAAATATGGTATTATAATCTTATGGAACCATCATATATACAGTCCTGCTACGGCCCGCATGGCTGCCTTGAGGATCTCAAGAGACAGTGGTGAGAGATTAAGAAAGACAGACACAAAGACATAAAGTAAAGCTGGGGCCAAGTGGGACACTTTCCTCTGGTAGAAGAGAAGTGGCCCTGAACTCGGTCAGTATGTTTATTTTATAGTCAAGCACAAAAGAAATTGGAAGGGATTCAAGGTCTGTGAGGGAGCTAGAGCAGAATTTTGTTGCCACCTAAAAGGCGAGCTGTTCCGCAGTTATCTTGTAGCTAAGGCCTTATCTGTACTGTGTGCACCCGTATGTGTGGACATCTGAGACACCGTTCTGTGTAGCAGGCTGCATCCCTCACAGCCTGCCTTTGGCAAGGATACAGTACTTCCAAGCCAGACCTTGCTTTCGCCTGGGGCCTTTACTCACGAGGCCTGCTACAGCGACAGTGCTTGTCTGCTTCCTACACCACATCCGTTCCCAACACAGTCCATCATTGATCAAAATGTTATATAGCACATGACTGTATTTGTTTTACTTATTTTCTTTATTGTGTGTCCTCAACAACTAGAATCTAAATTCCATGGGGGCACAGATGTTTTCTGTCTTGATCATAAATACTTTATTTTCCAGTGTCTGAAATAACTCCTGGCACATAGTCAATAAATATTTGTTGAACCAAATCATATATATAAAGCTTTTAACGCACAGCATGTGCTCATTAAATATTGTTTAATTAATGTTCTCATAATATGTTCATTAATAGTTCCAGCACTCTTTTTCCTCTCCAAACTATTTGTATTTCTAGAAGCCATCTATGAGGAACTATTCACTTAGGAGGAAGTTGATTTTTAAGGTTCTATTCCAGGAAAACAATTTTAACATTCAGTTTCTAAGCCTGAGTTTCTTAACTGGTTTCAATTTAGTGGACAGGGAGGTGGGAGGCAGAAAAAGAACTTGTTAAAATTGTGAGTGCATTTTATTTTATTTTATTTTTATTTTTGAGTTGGAGTCTCACTCTCTCGCCCAGACTGGAGTGCAATGGCCACTCCCAGCCACTGCAGCCTTGACCTGCTGGGCTCCAGCGATCCTTCCGCCTCAGCCTTCCAAGTAGCTGGAACGGGAACGACAGGCGCGCGCTACCATGCCCGGCTACTTTTTGGTTTATTGTAGAGATGAGGTCTCGCCAAGTTTCCCAGGCGGGTCTCGAACCCGCGGGCTCAGGCAATCCATTCACCTCAGCCTCCCAAGGCGTGGGATTACAGGCTGAGCCACCAAGCCCGGCTGTGAGTGCATTTTACAAAGGATATCCCACCCATTTATAAAGTATAACTTCAGTGTAAAGAAACTGAAAGTAATGCATGCAAGTATTAACTGGATTTCTACTTGTTTGCTTACCGGTTCAGAACACTTCAACAACCTTCTCTTTTTTTTTTTTTCCACCCTGCCCCCTCTGTGCACAGGCAAACAGCCGTCTCGCACGCAGCACCAACAACCTTCTTTTAAAAATTAAGTTAGCCGGGCTCGGTGGCTCAGCCTGTAATCCCGTGCCTTTGGGAGGCTGAGGTGAGTGGATTGCCTGAGCCTGCGGGTTCGAGACCCGCCCGGGCAGAAGAGACCTCATCTCTACAATAAAATAAAAAAATTAGCCAGGCATGGTAGCGCATGCCTGTAATTCCGGCTACTCGGAAAGCTGAGGCGGAAGGATCGCCGGAGCCCAGCAGGTCAAGGCTGCACTCCAGTCTAAGCGACAGAGTGAGACTCCAGCTCAAAAAAAAAAAAAAAAAAATTAAAGTTAGTAGGGTTGGTCATGGTGCCTCACGCCTGTAATCCCAGCTCTTTGGTGGCTCATGCCTGTAATCCCAGCACTTGGGAGACTGAAGCAGGAGGATTGCCTGAGCCCAGGAATTCAAGAACAGCCTGGGAAACATAGTGAGACCCTGTCTCTATTAAAAAATAATTAAAGCTAGTAATTATTTTTTTTCTTAGGCAGCATTGAGCATGATAACAAAAGTAAATAATCATGACTCTTACTTCCTTTATACTTAAGCAATAAAAACAGCAACAGTATCTGTAAAATAATTCCTGGGATCAGAGGCATGTCCTTTACAAGAATGCCTCATAAACATAAATTGCTTTCAGTTTGTGTTACTTCCTTTGAAGACAGATAAAGACAACTTTAACACTGTAGAATGTGGAGTAAGTTTATGTTTCCAATCAGTATTTTAACCCTAAAATTACACACTAAATATTCTTTTAAAATGTACTTCCTGCTGCTGAACTGCCCAGCTGAGCCAACATTGAGGGCATCCTAGCAATTCGGCCCGATGTGCTTTGCTCTCACGACATAATGGTGGCATACTGGCAGCAGGCTGGACTCAGCTACATCCAATACTCCCAGATCTGTGCAAAAGCACTGAGAGATGCACTGAAGACAAAATTCAAAGCAAATGCCAAGAAGACTTCTGGCAGCAGCGTAAAAATTGTGAAAGTAAAAAAGGAATAATCTGCCTGACTAAAGCTTGAAATGCTACATTTTCAAGGTAAAGGTGTGTGGGCATATGTTATGGCAGAATCAAAACGATCTTACTTCATGAAAAAAAAATACCTGTCTTGTTTGTAGATTGACATTGCCAATAAATTGAAGTATGGTTCACTCTTTTTTAAAAATGTACTTAAGAAGATGCTACAAATGAAAAAGTTTTAGCACAAATTAATTACTAACTGAAAATTGTTAAGACCTCAGGATACATGGAAGAATGTAGGGAAAAGGTACACAATTTAATAAATTTCTTATTCATGCTTCTGATTTTCTTCATTTTGTTTTTAGCTGGTCTTTACATGCATATAAGGAGGCTCCCCTTTAAAATCAGATGTGATGGAAGCTGCACTAACACGTGTGAATGTGTTCCAAGAAGAAGGAACAGTCGGTGCATAAGCCTCGAAACAGGGATGATTTCAACCAAGCAGATGCAAGGAACAACAAGAAGGCCAGATTGCTGGTCTTACTTTCATCATCTGTAGCCATGCCACATGATAACAAGGGGTGGTAAAGTCATGGGGAACTGGAACTCTTATACGGGGTGGGGGCACAAAAAAACAGAATTTATTTATAAAAAATGATGTATTTATTCTTACATGTTTAAACTTCAGTCACTTTCAAAGTATTCTCCATTCGATCAATACACCTATCGAGACACTTTTTCCATTGCTCAAAACAGTTTTTTAACTCACCCATTTTGATGCCTTTTAGTGCTTCTGACGTTTTTTGTTTCACCTCTTCCACATAGTGATGTTTCCCTTTGATGACTTTTTCCATCCAGAGAAACAAAAAAAAAGTCTCTTAGGGTGAGATGGGGTGAAAAGGGAGGATGGGGCACAGTGGGCATGCTGTTTTTGGTCAAAAACTGCTGAACACTCAGCATGGTGTGAACAGATGTGTTGTCATGAACCAGTCATTTGTTTGCCACAACTCATGTTTCTTCCACCACACAGCCTCTCACAACACTAACTGGGACATTGATGCCAATGGGTTCCTAGAATACTTACCTAGCAGGGGAAGCTTACACTGCAGGGGACCTGCCCTCCAAAAGATAATTCTGGGTTTTTTGGGGGTTGCCCCTCATGCATTACTGGTGAAAATGCAAAATGCTTTGGAAAATCGTTTAACAGTTTTTTTGAGTTAATTATGCATTGACTACATGACCCAGCAAAATCACTCCTAGGTATTTACTCAAGAGAAAAGAAAACTTACATCCACACAAAAACCTGTCCATGAATGTTAATAATATCTTGATTCATAATCGCCCCAAACTGGAAAAAAACTCAAATGTCCCTGAACTGGTGAGAAGAACGAACAAACTGTGGCACCTATTTATAATGGAATACTGCACAGCAATCATGAGGAACAAACTACTGAACACATGTAGTAACATGCATGAATCTCAAGGGCATTATGCCAAGCAGTCAGTCTCGAAAGGCTATGTACTACAGGGCTCCATTCACATGACGTTCTGAAAAAGACAAACCTGTGGGTACAGAACACAGATCAGTAGCTGTGGGGGCCTGGCTTCAGAGAAATGTTGGTTACAAAAGGGAATGAGGGATTGGGAGGATCATGGGACGGTCCTATATCTTGGTGGCTTGGTTTTACAAAATTGTATACATTTGCCAAAGCTCTTAGAATTGTTCACACAAAAAAAGTTGAATTTTACTGTATTATATCACAATTTTAAAAAATGAATGGAAGTCATTTTCCTTTTTTATTTTTATTTTAAAGATGGGTACAGCCGGGCTCGGTGGCTCAGCCTGTAATCCCGCGCCTTTGGGAGGCTGAGGTGAGTGGATTGCCTGAGCCCGCGGGTTCGAGACCCGCCTGGGCAGCGAGACCTCATCTCTACAATAAATCAAAAAATGAGCCGGGCGTGGTAGCACATGCCTGTAATTCCGGCTACTCGGAAGGCTGAGGCTGAAGGATCGCCAGAGCCCAGCAGGTCGAGGCTGCGGTGGCCGGGAGCGGCCACTGCACTCCAGTTTGGGCGACAGAGTGAGACTCCAACTCAAAAAAAAAAAAAAAAAAAAAGATAGTGAGGTATGCAAATGGTCATTGTACAGGTAAAGTTTGGGCCTCACTTTGGTCCCCACTTCACCTGGTTTGAGACCAGATACACTTATTGATGAAGTGTGACCCCCCACCTCCCCTGGCAGTTTCCCACTACTGCCAATCCCTTTCTTATAGTATTATAATAATTGTTCAAGGTTCACTTATGAGTGAGGAAGTCATTTTCATCAAGGTAGGATGAGAATAATCAAAATGCCATCACCCTGTTGCTGTGCTAATTACATTAGGGGCTAAAATTCCATTGCTGTAGATTTGCATGCATGTAGACTTATGTTCGGAAGAATCAGCTCTTTTCTGACATCTACAGCCATTCATTTAATCAATATGTATCAGCTGGGCTCAGTGGCTCAGCCTGTAATCCCGGGCCTTGGGAGGCTGAGGTGAGTGGATTGCCTGAGCCCATGGGTTTGAGACCTACTCGGGCAACTTGGTGAGACCTCATCTCTATAATAAAACAAAAAATTAGCCGGGCATGGTAGCGTGCACCTGTAGTTCCAGCTACTTGGAAGGCTGAGG